CACCCAACCTCTCACCTACTGCTTGTAGATTTTCCATCTCCCAGTTCAGCGTCTCAACCCGCTCACCCATTCGGTCCCTCATGGAGCAACCTCATCGGCAACCTCGTGCTCCAACGTCAGGATACGATCATCCATTTGCTTTAATTCCCCGGAGATTATGTCCAAGCGATACATAAGGCGGCTGAGCATTCGCTGTTCAGCTTCCCGAACGGCCGACTCAATTTTCTCGGTTTGTTCCTCGAAGCGAGTCTTTAGGAGCTCCAGAAGCTGTGGCGAATTTAAATCCGAGATGCGTTCGCTGGCAGTTCCAGCATTGTTGCGGGTACGTTTAGTGGATGGAGCAGAAGAACCCATGACTTTTTTAAGTGTATTTATTGTTTGATTTGATTAAAGTTAGGTGTATTAAAGCCACTTAAGTCACGCAAAACTTATTGGACCTGTACGGCGAATGGACGAATAGATGGAACATCTCGATAAACGGGAATAATTCTCAGCACTGCAAATTCTCTCTAATAAGTCATATCCTTCTCAGAGTAAAATTCCAGGATACAGCTATACCGCAATTTCCCTAGGCTCAGTACTTGGGTTTGATTTTGGAAAAACGACTTACGTGAAGGCAGCACATAAAAAACAAGAAAGGAAGTTAACTTCGTCAACCTGAAGCTTGTATACCCTTGCAGTTATAATTATTAAATTTAAGAAAACAAAAAATGATATTCCCAATAGTATAAGATAATATTTCAGAAGACACCGAAGCTATAATTTGTTTCATATTATTTTCCCACCAATTTTCCGATCGTTCCTATGACAGCTATATGATATAGTCGTCCGATTTTGATAAAATTAAATTCGAAATTCAGAACTAATTAAAAAGTTATTTCCAAGCATATGAGGTTATATGCTAAAAAACAACGAAGCTATAACTTGTTTCATATTATTTTCCGACCAATTTTCCGATCGTTCCTATGGCAGCTATATAATATAGTCGTCCGATTTTGATAAACTTAAATTCAAAATTTAGAACTAATCAAAAAATGTTCTTCCAAGCGTAGGAGGTTAAGTGTTAGAAAACATCGAAGCTATAATTTGTTTCATATTATTTTCCTACCAATTTTTTTGATCGTTCCTATGGCAGCTATATGATATCAAACAAAAACACCTCTTAACGAGGTAAAAAGTAGTGGCGAAAGTGCTCTTAACAAAAATTTCTGATATCAACAATTGTGACGAAAAATGATATTACATTCGATAAAATAAATAAACTATATTAAATTATATAAATATCAATTTTGAGAAAATAGTGAAAAAGTGGTTTTAAAAAATAACTTTTTATCATTACTCTAAATCTATTATATATATACAATTTTACTATATAAAGAGAATTTAGCAAATTAAATTATCTTTTCAGAGATATATAGCACGTTTCTGTAGCATTAGTTGTTTAGCTACTATAAGCATTTTAAATCTGGCTTTATTTCTTGATTTTCCGCTAAACTAGCGGGTTTTTCCAAAAGTCGTATAACAGTCGTTTTCTATTTCAAGCTACTTTATACACCCATAGGGTTTTCGAAACCCTAAAACTAAGATGGGATGCATACAAACCCACAAACAAAGGGACAAACATTTTCATTTTGGGAAGAAGAAGAAAATTTTGTTTTTTGAATTACTTTTGAACGGAACATCGGATTTCAACAAGTGAGGTGTCATTCGACGCGTATTCTCAGTAAGAATAAAACTAGCTAAACAGCCGGGGGCTTTTATCTCCACCGTATCCAACAGCTCCAATTTTCTAAATTTTTACTTTTACACTTTCACCGCTTTTTCTCCCAAACAAATCTATATTTCGAAAGTCTTGGTACGCATTGTTCTTAGTTGGTGCGATACCTTTCGATTGGTGTATCACTCGTTATGATCGGAAAATAATTGCAGATTTTCAATTCTGCGGCTATATATAGTAGTTGTCTTCGCACGCTCTCTTGCGCGCTTCGCCACTACGTGTACTGCCGTCCACAGTGATATATTAGTTGTCTTCGCACGCTCTCTTGCGCGGTTCGCCACTACGTGTACTGCCGTCCACAGTGATAGTCGTCCGATTTTGATAAAATTTTGTTCGAAATCCAAAATTAATTAAAAAATGTTATTTCCAAGCTAAGGAGATTATATGTTAAAAAACACCGAAGCTATAATTTGTTTCATATTATTTTCCCACCAATTTTCTGATCGTTCCTATGGCAGCTATATGATATAGTCGTCGATATTAAGTCGATGTTAAAAAATATATTGTCTAAGCTTAGAGGTTATATCTTAAAAAAACACCAAAGATATATTTTTTTAAAATTTTTTTTCCGATTATATACTTTATGGGGTCTGAAACGTCTCCTTAACTGCGTTGCAAACTTCTGACTGAAATCAATATACCCTCTGCAAGGGTATAAAAAAGCATTAACATGTCGCGCTAATCTTCGGAAGCTTAAATTTTTCTCAGCAACAAAATGTTGCTGTACAAGTCGACAAATATCAAATATAAATGTACCGCTTCAGACTCAAATGTCATGAGGGTCCAAAAACTGCAAAACCTGGCGCTACGCAGAAACGAGGTCTAGCGTTCTAGCCGTTAGAAAGAACGCATTTTAGCCCACACCAACCAACTAGCAGCATCCTTGGCAAATTCAATAACCAGAAGAAGACTTAAGAGTCGATACCCTGGGGATCTTTGGGCACGAGGATGTCAGATAACCAGCGTCTTGAGACAATTGTGTAGAACTATTATAAAATTGTTAAATTTCCTCATTAGTGTTATGCTTCACGTTATCTTTTCTTTGTTATTTCAATGCCTTTTATAGCCATTTAGTTGGTTGATCAATATCTATTTTCATCCATCTAGCACTCGATTGAACTTGCCCATTATTTATTATTATTTATTTAATTAATTTTTGGCGTGTATATTGATTATAAGCGGAAAACATTACTTAAATTTTTACAAAATATAAAAAAATGCGGGCGCTAAGATTAAGTGGTTCGACTCTCATCATTTAGATAGATATTGATCAATAAAATCAGTTGCAATTTACAATGAATCAAAATCATCCAAAATGTGCGAGCCAGACAGACTTAGCGTTATGGGAGTTTGTGGTCCTTAGAGTGAGCGTGACACTATGCTGAAACAAGAAACCTTTCCTTAAGAACCCTATGAATATCTATGCTTCGTTCCAACCTTTTTTTCTTTTACTTTCATGTTTGGTGCAAGACAAAACAAAACATTCTCATAAACAACTTAAAAACTAAAGCTTGCTATTTCTCTCTATGGAAATAACACTAAATTACAAAATAATATTTTAAAAATACTTCATGAAGGATGAAGTTGCTAGCATCGTTGGACATCTAGAATACAACAAATATTGGTTTAGGATACAATTTTCATACCCTTGCAGAGAGTATTATGATTTCAGTCAGAAGTTTGCAACGCAGTGAAGGAGTGGTTGATCAGCATCACTAGACGAGTCGATCTAGCCATGCCCGTCTGTCCGTCCGTTTCTACGCAAAGTAGTCTCTCAGTTTTAAAGCTATCGGTCTGAAACTTTCCCAAAAGTCTTCTTGCTTTTGCAGGTAGAATATAAGTCGGAACCAGTCTGATCGGAGAACTATATCTTATAGCTTCCGTAGGAATAATCGAAAATACACCACAAGCCGCCCAAGCCTGTGGTGCTAGATAAAAAATTTAACTGAAATGTATTGTTCTCATCAATACCTATCCATTGAACCAAAAAAAAGTTTTCAACGCCCATAACGCTTAAATCTGTCTACCACCCACATAACCATATATTGAGATCACGGGTAGTTGGCGCATTTCAAACTCGCTGTGCTGCTTGCATATCTCCATTTCCCTTTAGCTGAGTAACGGGTATCTGATAGTCGAGGTACTCGACCGTAGCGTTCTTCCTTGTGTTTTATATGTTTATCTGATAGCTTTTCTCGATTGTTCTAAAAATGTTAAAAACAAAAGTTTCACAGCACGGCTAAGGAAATAACATGAACCGTATTAAGTTCATTAACTGATCATACAGAAGTTCAAGTTTTAAGCGTTTGAGAGGTATTGACGAGGGCAATACATTTCAATTATAATTATACCCGTTACTCGTAGAATAAAGGGTATACTAAATTCGTCGGAAAGTATGTAGAAGGCAGATGGAAGCGTTTACGACACCATAAAGTATATATACTCGTATTCTTGATCAGGATCAATAGCCGAGTCTATCTAGCCTTGTCCGTCTGTCCGTCAGTCCAGATGAACGCTGAGATCTCGGAAACTATAAGAGCTACAATACTGGGATTAGGCATCTATATTCCTGAGCTTCTCACAGAGCCTAAGTTTGTTTCAGCAGCGTGCCACGCCCACTCTAACGTCCACAAACAGCACACAAACTTCAAAAAATCTTAGATATGAACGCGGATATCTCGGAAACTATCAAAGGTAGAGAATTGGGATCTCATATTTAGATTTCGTAGCCTTGAGCGCAGCGCAAGATTGTTACGCGAATGTGCCAAGCCCACTCTAACGCCCACAAGCCGCCCATGTCTGTGGCGCCCACAATATTCATGCTAGAAAAAAAAGGTTAACTGAAATTTATTAGTCTCGTCAATACCTACCAAAAAAAGTTTACCATGCCCACTCTAACGCCCATAACGCCTAAATCGGTCTACCACCTACATAACCATACATTGTGATCAGGGGTAGGTGGCGCATTTCAGTCTCGCCTTGCTGTTTGCATATCTCCATTTCCCTTTTGTCCCTTTATCTGAGTAACGGGTACTCGACTATAGCGATCTTCCTTGTTTTTATTGTAACATTAAAATTGCAGAAGCCACGGTTTAAAGCGGTGTGGGCGGTGGAGCTGGCGTGTCACTTTGCTCGGTAGTGTGTACCGCGCCAATAAAAACGCTGTGGAGTTTTATTTTAACTAAAATTTAAAAAACACAGTAACGATTATCTTATAGGCGACTACATATTTCCTTCATGTTTAAAAATCAAGGTTTCGAGCTTAGAAACCATGGTCGATTTCTAGTTTCGTACTCCTCCTTTGCCCGCCGGAGTAAGTGGAACATAGCGGCCAGCAGACTCGTGCTCAATGAATCTCTGACGGCGGTCAGATACGGAATCGCAGCTGAGTCCGGATCAATCTTGCGCCGCCACAACAGGTGGACTAAAGCGTGGGCCAGCCACAACAGCATGAGCAACTGCAGAAGGCTGGTAAGCACGAAGGCGACCACAAATGTCCACCTCACAGATATGTGGGACATATACAGATAATCGTCCAGGATGACGAGCACGACGTTGCCTGGAAAGGGAGTAAGCGGTGCCTCTAAGGAAGACACGATACGTGAATCTTCGGGTAGGACGCCCAAAATTGAGCGCTGATAGAGCACACTGCTCATGTGGCTGGCCTCCACGGATACCAAATTTCCCCCAATCCCGTTTATAATGGGTGAGAATATGGCAAATGCCCGGAAGCCGTGAACGGATGAGCTGAGAACAAATCCTGCAATTTGGCTTATACACAGCGCAGTAATGACCGGTTTCCAGCTAACCAAGAGAATAGGCCGAACATAGACATTAGGAATCACCACCAACAACCAGATGGGCAGCATAATCACTAAATAGCCGACCACCACGCAAATAGATATCCACAAGTTCGACTTGCTAACGTCGTACATCGTAGCGGCGCTAAAAGAAAGGAGACCAATTGTAACTATATCGCCCAAGGAGGCCACGATAGGAATAGCCATGTAGTCTGGATTAAAGCTAAAGCGCTGCGAAAATAGGATGGCTGCCATCACAATAGAGTCTAGGAGGAAGCAGGAGGTACTTGAGGTAATCAGGGCAGCGGCCGTCGGTACGGGGTAGTCCTTAAGGCTAAAATTATGGTTAGAAATAACACTGATCCCAACCGTCAGAGCACTCAGTAATATGGCACAAGCAATGGCCTGCAACTGAACTAAAGCCATGTTGCCAATGATGATTTTTAGCACAGCTTTCCGTGTAGAAAGGTGACCCAGATTCGAGTGAGTAGAAATTCTTGAAGCTACGCACATATCCAGGTTCCCTTTTAATCCACACAATGTAGCTACTAGAACGAAAAGCTCATTCATTTGACGGTACACTGTCCAATCCTGCACGTTACCCAGCATCAGTCCTGCAGTAATTGTTCCCACTCCCGCCAGGAAAAATGGAATTGCTATTTGAAATAGTGTGCAGTACCAGCGCTCAAGGTGAATATCGGGATGTGTCTTGGGGACCTGCGGCTCCGATGCTTTCGCCATAACGATTCCTATTGCAGAATGTCACAAACAAACCAAATCTTTGCAAAAATAACTATCTCTTATTTGACCTTTCATTTTGTTTTTCATGAAAATTTAAATTTTTATGAAAATATATACATTTTGACATTTAGACATCGGGATACACATCGATATTGTTGCTCCTTATAAGGTCATAAGTTCTATTGGTTGTATGATTGGAGGCAACGCAACAGGACCAGGACGTGAGATAATGCGCGTACTCCACAATTTCAAATATAAATATTTATGCAAAAATGATTTAATTTTCGAATCCCGAAAATTTAAAATTAATTTAACCTAAATGTAAAAATCCGGATAATATATTTTTCGAGAGATATTTTCTTATTTGTTCGTTGTATATAACTTTTTATATATACCCGTTACTCGTAGAGTAAAAGGGAATGCTAGATTCGTCGGAAAGTATTTAACAGGCAGAAGGAAGCACTTCCGACCCCATAAAGTATATATATTCTTGATCAGGATCACCAGCCGAGTCGATCTAGCCATGTCCGTCTGTCCGTCTGTCTGTCCGGATGAACGCTGAGATCTCGGAAACTATGGGAGCTAGGCTTGTGAGATTAGGCGTGCAGATTCCTGAGCTTCTTACGCAGCGCAAGTTTGTTTCAGTAGAGTGCCACGCCCACTCTAACGCCCACAAGCCGCCCAAAACTGTGGCTCCTACAGTTTTGATGCTAGAATAAAACTTTAACTGAAATGTAATGTTCTCATCAATACCTATCGATTGGCCCAAAAAAAAGTTTGCCACGCCTACCCTAACGCCCATAAACCGCCCACAAACTTCAAAAAATCGTAAATATGAGCGTGGATATCTCGGAAACTATCAAAGATAGAGAATTGGGATTTCAGATTTAGATTCCGTAGCCTTATACGCAGCGCAAGTTTGTTACGCGAATATGCCACGCCCACTCTAAAGCCCATAACGCTTAAATCTGTATACCGCCGGTATGTGGCGCATTTTAATCTCGCTTTGCTACTTGCATCTCTCTATTTAGCTGAGGTACTCGACTATAGCGTTCTTCCTTTTTTTTATATAAGCAGCATAATATTATAATGTTCAGGATTTTGAATCCCAAAATTTTCTCTCTGCTTTCCACAAATCTCGAATCTATCTTTTCCCACCTTTTTCTATTAAAATATCTTTTTATAAAAAATTTTTTAAATGGAAGAGTAATATTTACTCAAAAAACACAATTTTTTATATTTATTATAGCCCCGATCTTTATCCCCGACATCCTTAGAGTAAAAGGTAGAAGGACGCTTAATATAATATTAATCGATTTAAGAGAGGCAGATTTTGAGATAATAGGATAAAGTCTATTATAGTCAGAACTTAATACTCTGAAAGGTTCATGCAAAACATTCTTAGATCTACAATGATTTAAAATTAGGGGACTGTAATTTCTGGTTAATTTGCATGGAACAGAAAAGTTTAGCTCGGTAACTAAGTCGGGGCTATCAATTTCACCTCGAATAAAGTTATAAATAACAAGGAAGAACGGTATAGCCGAGTACCTCGACTATCAAATACCCGGTACTCAGCTTAAGGGACAAAATGGAAATAGAGACATGCAAGCAGCAAAGCGAGACTGAAATGCGCCACCTACCCCTGATCACAATATATGGTGGGCGTGGTAAACTTTTTTTTTGGTCAATCGATAGGTATTGACGAGACTAATACATTTAAGTTAAAATTTTTTTTCTATCATGAGAATTGTGGGCGCCACAGAGTTGGGCGGCTTGTGGGCTTTAGAGTGGCATATTCGCGTAACAAACTTGCGCTGCGCTCAAGGCAACGAAATCTAAATCTATCTTTGATAGTTTCCGAGATATCCGCGTTCATATTTACGATTTTTTGAAGTTTGTGGGCGGTTTGTTGGCGTTAAAGTGGGCGTGTCGAACTTTTTTTTTGAGTCAATCAATAGGTATTGATTAGGACAATACTTCTCAGTAAAATTTGTTTATTGTAGCATAAAAACTGTATGAGCCACAGTTTTGGACGGTTTGTGGGCGTTAGAGTGGGCGTGGCACGCTGCTGAAACAAACTTGAGCTGCGTAAGAAGCTCAAGAATCTGCATGCCTAGTCCCAGTATTGTAGCTCTTATAGTTTCCGATATCTCATCCGTCAGACGGACATGGCTAGATCGACTTGGCTAGTCATCCTGATCAAGAATATATATACTTTATGGGGTCGGAAACGCTTCCTTCTCCTGTTACTTACTTTCCGACTAATCTTGTATACCCTTTTACACTACGAGTAACGGGTATAAAAATGTTCCAAGCATCGTTCCGCGGTTGGCTAGGGTGGGTAAGTTAATTAAGAGTAATCTACTAGAATAAGAAGGTAAAATCAGGCTTGCATCCCAGTTTAGGGACCTTAAAGCAAATAGCAAAAAGTTCTTCTGTACAGATTCGCTACGATCAACATGAATTCCAGACGGGAGATCCATTCTCAAATACCAGGTGGACAAGCGAAATAACTGAGGTCTTTTTAATATAAGGATCATCAAATTTTTTTGACCACCTTTTAATAAAGCCAAGCGCACCCCTAGCTTTATTTACCATGGACGAATATATGTGATCAATAAATTTTACTCTTGGGTCCAAAACAGCGCCAAGATCGTTTGCTAGAGTTATTCTATCCAATGAGACGTCAAACAGCGTGTATTGAGGATTGACTCGACAAAAATTCATTACCTTTCACTTAGAGCCATTTAAGTTCAGTTAATTGTCACAGCACCATGTTTGAAAATTATTCAAATCGGATTGTAAGTTGGACTGGAAAGATGCATTCTTGCACTACAGTCATAATTTAATATCATCTGGGTATATTGGTAAAGTACTCTTTGTGTTCTGCAATTCAGATAACTTAAGATCCATCTTAAAAGATCAACAGGGAACCCTAATAAATTGAGTTTTTTAATCAGAAGAACGTTACTTATAGATTCAATTGCTTTACTTAAGTCAATGAAAATGACTTCTCTTTGAAGATGTTTTTTAAGTCACAAATGATGTAAGTTCCAAAAGGTTAGTGGTTGTAAGAATAAGGCTGTGAGGAATGAGGTAAAGTAGAATATGTCGGTTTGAAAAAACTTGGCAAAACGATCGGCTATTGCCTAATCAGTTAATATTTTCAAAAGATAACGAGGAATGAAAATTGGTAGATTTACGTTTAGTGTTAACAATATTATAAAACTTTCTCGGGTTTTGAGAGAATTTCACTTTACAACTATTTAAATAGTTTTTGTTAAAACTAAGCCGATCACGTAAGTATCTATAATAAATAGATTGATAACCGGTATCTTTGAATTTCCTATAAATTCTGGTGTTAACTTCTGTAGGTCGATCAGGACATAATAAGTGCGGAAATATTTTCAGCTTGGCGGTTGCAGTGTTTAAGCTTAAGCGTGTCTGTTTTAAAGTCTTAAATTATAACACAAAATAAATATTTTATGCGGAGACTACGTACCAATTGTCTCGGCCAAAAGTACAAAAATGGACACCCTTTTGTGCCTTTCGTGAGCTTACAATCGTACATGATCAATAAGAAAGTAAATTAATCATTAAATGATAAAGGCTACAAGTTTTGAATTCATCTTGACTTAAATTAGAAGAAAAAATTTAATAATAAATAACATTCTTTAACATCTGACTTCTTATTTCTAAGGTGTGTCAACTCTTTACCTAACCAAGGTGGCTTGTTGGAGACTGACGGATAGTATAACGGCACACGAGAATTGAAAATCGAATTTACTGTACTAAAGAAAATATAAAAAGCATCATCCATATTTTAGGATGAGTAGAGATCGGACAAATCAAAGTTTAATATAAAGGGCGGCCCACGAAAGATTTGCGTTTTAAAATCGCTATAAAAAAACAACGAGATAATATATTTCAAATTTTTTTTTTATTAGATAGCTTCAACATTGCGGTTTATGTATGAAACACAACTTTGTTCATATGGCTGCCTCGGGCCAGTTGACATCGCCGTTTCGGCTGATTATGCGGTTTTCGAAAGTAACTCACAAAAGATCGATTGTGACGTTGGCTTTGTGGCACGTAGCGCCGTCCTGCTAGAACCATATGTCGTCTATGTCTTCCTCTTCCATTCGGGGAAAGAAAAGGTCTTCCAACATGCCGCGATAGCGGACACTATTAACGGTTACGGCGGCTCCTTCCTCGTTTTCAAAGAAAAACGGCCCAATGATGCCACCCGACCACATACCGCACCAAACCGTCACTCGTTGTGGATGCATTGGCTTCTCCAAGACGACGTGTGGATTTTCTGAACCCCACGCACACGCTTCACAAAACTATCCACAAGCTGCCTGGAATGTGCTTTATTTTTTTCCGAATTTTGACTGCAATTTTCTTGCAGTTTCGGTTGAAGACTCTCCTTTTTGGAAGAAAATTTTCATTATTTCCCAATTTTTTTCGAGCGTAAACTTAACCATTTCGTAAGCCGCAAGCCTTCTACTAAATATCTGACACATTGACAATGACATTCGAAATATCAAAGTCAAAATTATCGATTGTTCAAAAAACAAACGCTAGATGGGCCACCCTGTATAAAGATTTAGCCGCTGAAAGTCAGCCTTGCGGAAACAATGTAATCGCTTAGTTGACTTCTCAGATTTTTCTTCCAACACAGCACCACGGCCGATTCAGACCTCGAAATAAGGGTGATATGGATCTTCGGGTTGAGTAAGAGGTCCTACTTTGGACAGAAACACGCAGTCCGGGTTAGATACGAAGCATAGGTCCAGTAAACGGCCTAAGGAATTTGTAATGTAGTTAACGTGCGATAAAGATATGTCAAGCAAATCTTCAGTGAAATCATTATGAGCTAAAGGAAGGAAGACATTCGTCTTTTCATCTGTGGAACTCAGATGCAGGCGGAATGTACGAGCAAGCTACGCAAGCCTCTGGTAATCTGATAGGAAAGAGTTAAGTTAGCTTTTAGTTTTTTGAAGAAGGTGCTACGGTAGAAGATGAAGGTGCGACACTACTGAGCAGTCTTGTTTTTACAGGTCTTTTTCTTTT